CTGCATGACAATCTAATAGTACCCCATTTGTGGAGTATTCTGTGTGCTAGGTACTATGGTAAATACTTTATTTCAAATAGCAATTAAAACATTTATAAATTATGAAAGAGGGAAGTGCCGGAGAACGTACAACACATCGGTTGCTCTATGGTAGGAAAAAAACCCCTCAACAATGCACAGTGAGGGAGAGATTAGAGGCACTAAAGGCCAATGAAGGGTGACCTGGTTGCCTGGTTTGTATTGATTTTGATCTTTAGAAACAATGTCTTTCTCTTCTAAGAAGAAAGCAGAATCTATTGGATGTCTCAAGAGTTAGAAAATTCTGATTTAAAAATTTCTGTGGGCTCTTTCTGGACACAGTACTTTTCTCTGAAATAAAAAATATAAGATGATGAGATAAAAATAGGAGACCTCTTTTTTGAGGTCTCAGATTTTAATAGACATTGTTCTTAGAGCCATTTAAGCTTGGCATAGAATTATTAATAGCTGAGAGCCATCGTCACTCACTGCTTCTGCTTTTACAGGGTTGGTTCACCTCTAGTTCTGAGCAGTGTGAAGGTTAGGGCTTTAATGGGTGGCTTGGGTTATATAACTTTAGCAGCAGAAGGTACTTAGTCTGATTTCCTCATTTTACAGATAAAGAAACTGCCCCAAGGAAGGTTAATTCTCTGGCCTGAGATCACACGATTTGTTGCAGAGCCAGAATGTAAATTTGGAGATTGACTCTTAGTTCAGTACTTTCCCTCTATTATTTCACCGTACCTCTCCACTTCTAGTTTTTTTTTCTTTTCTGAGATATGGGAGTGGCAGTACAACAGTAAATACTTTTGATGATACTATGTAGGCACTGCTTATATAAATAACAATGATGATGACAGTGCCCCATATTTGTGTTTGTTTTTCAAAACTTGTAAAACAGTAGCAGACAATAAGCTATACAAGTGATGCGGTTGATTGTATGGTCAACCCATCTATCATTTTGAATGAAGTATTGTAGTCAACTTACTCTATAACTTGAATAGCAGGTTTGGGGATAATTGCAGTTTTAAGGCATAACCCAGGTTTTGTTTTGGTGTGCTTTTGTACCACATTATTTCTTTTGTGATCAACCATGCTTCTAATAATGAGCAAAGTTGACTTGTTTAAATTGTGGATCCTTCATGTACCTTGACCTTTCTCAGTTATATGTTCTTGAAAGAAATAGAATGGCTAACAAGCACTGAGTGAGAGGAAGAAAGAAAACTCTTGAATAATCCATAAATTTCATAATCAGTCTTTGAATACATCAAGAGTGAACTATACTTAGCCTTCTGACATTTTAAATGCTTAAATTATAATATTTTAAATAGGAAAATAACTATTTTCTGTCATATCCAAATTAGTATGTACATTATTTAATGCTGCTTTATTTATTTTGGAAAATGATTCTATATTTTGCGGAGGCATAATTGTACAGTTTTCCATTTTAATTTCTCTTACCTACTGTTAATATTTGATGACTATATTTTTATAAGAAACGTACAATTTTGAGCATATTTGATTGATTGCTTTTGGTTCAGTGAGAAGAAGGGTGCAGATAAAATCATAGTTTTTTGTTTTTTTTCAATGACTCAGGCTGGTACGATGTTCTGATCGGCTCTGTGCTTCTCATAGTGCTTGTCATTTTGCCTAGTGGAGTGGCTCTTACCCAGGGGCAGTTTTGCCCCCCTGATGACATTTGGTATGTCTGGGGACATTTTGATCATCATGACTAGGGTGAATGCTGTTAGCATCCAGAGGGGAGAGGCCAGGAATGCTGCTAAACATAGAGTTCATTCGACAACCCCCATAACAGAGAATTGTCTGACCCACATGTCAGCACTGCCAAGATTGAGAAACCCTTACATATGGCAGGTGCACGATAAAATATACTGAATTAGAAAATGCATCCATCCTATTACTTAAGCATAAGGCCTCATATATTTTATATGTATATTTACATACTAGTTTCTTTGCTTCATTATGCTTAACATATTAAAACGAAGGTTTTGCAATTATGATTAATTTAGGTTTGTTGTACCCCATTGAAATAGTGTAATATTAGTAATCAAATGTTAACAGGAAGATTCATTGTTCTTATTTTGGACTTCACTTCTCCCTTAAGGTTTTTGTTTTCTTGGAATCAATATTGTATGTTTCCTACCATATTTCTACTTAGATCTGACATAATCATTTCTGTGAAAAAGTTAATTATCCAGATGTCTAAACTAATAATTAATCTGACAATCCTTATCCTGCTATATCTATTTAATCTTATCTTTAGAATTTAAGTCTGAGATACTAAGTAGAATTTGCAGAATTCAGCAGCTAGCAAAGCAGGACTCCAGTTTCAAGCAGCAAAGCTAGAGTTGCTAGATCAGGTGGTTCTCACAATCCCAGTGAAGTAGAAGCTGAGTTACAGCCGAGTTTTCTGCCATGTGTGCATCGTTTCTAATCCGACTTTAAAGCTACGTGTCTCTTATTTCTGTCGACCTGATTTAATTTGGACCAAACTGTTAAAAAGGAGATAGATCCTTAACATTTTTAGGGGTTGAGGAGTGGGAAGGGGTAACGAAGGACTTGGAAGAGTATTATTAAAAGCACTTCAGTGCTTTATAAATCACCCAAAAACTATGTGGTGACTTGTTGGATTTTCTTTTTAAATAGTTATAAATGCCCCCACTAACAGGAGGATTGGTGGCGGTTCTATCTGATGCTTGTCAGAAGGAAAAGCCATAGGTAAAATAATTGCACTTGCTGTTCTGATCTTTTTACTGATGTTTACTTGAACATGACCTATTGAACTCTTAATCTAAGAAGTTTGGTCAATGATACGTACCTGAGATGCTTTTAGGATTTGTTACATTTGTTACTTAATATCTGTGACAACCATAGTAGAAGCAAGTTCTAGGTAGGCTTAACTGCCAAAGAGTTTGGAATTTGGAAAAGTGATTTTTATATGATTTGAGTTTTGGCATAAAAAAATTGCTTGGAGTGATCCCTTATAATGGCAGTAATCTGATCAGTCATAAGAGCCTGTGCTTTAGCAAAACACACAGCCAGCCAGAGAAGTTAGTGCGTGATAGATTAGGTGAGGTTGAGGAGAAAAGAAGGAGATGGTGTTGTAATTCCCAGAAACTGTGTAGTAGTGTCAGAGAGGTGTTTAAGAGGAGTGTTTCAATGTGATGGAAGCGACATACTTTCCTGTTGAAGAGAGAAAACAAAAATCAGAAAACTTTCTAACTCCTAACAACCTCCCTCTTCTGTGGTGGTTCACTTGCAGTGGTTATCAACCCTGGCAACACCTGAGAATTGCTAGAAGAGTTTTTAACAATGGCTGATGCCTGGGCTCCACTCCTGGCAACCTCAGTGTAATTGAGACCTAGACTTTGGTATTTTGTAAAGAGCTCCGCAGATGAATCTGACTTGCAGACCAGGGTTAAGAACCACTGCCTCATGGCAGTGCATCAGAACTGTCTGGAGGGCTGTTAGGTCTGGGCTGGAGCTGAGAATTTCTTTACATTTCTGATAAGTTCCCAGGTGATACTGATATTGCTGGTAAGGTGATCGCACATTCTTACATCATTTCGGTAACTAGTCTGCTTGTTCTTTTCTTTTCTTTTCTTTTTCTAAGATGGATACTTCTGTATTTTTTAATTTATAATGAGCTTTTACATTATTTGTTGTTAATCCTCACTGAGGACATTTTTTCATTGATTTTTTTAGAGTGGGAGGGAGGGAGGGAGGGGGAGAGAGAGAGAGAAACATTAATGTGAGAGAGGCACATCAATTGGTTGCCTCCTACACACACCTTAACTGGGCTGGAGATCAAACCTGCAGCCCAGGTCTGTGCCCTTGACCAGGAATCAAACCCAAGATCCTTTGGTGCTTGGGCCGATGCTCTAATCACTGAGAACACTGGCCAGGACAGCATTTACATTTTATTTAAAACAAATTTTTGGAAGAAGCCACATCCATAATAACTAAAATGTTGTATAATGCTTCATAGTTAAAAAAAATATATAATGAATTTACAGTTTCTAGTAGACTTTTTGAACTATTTAAAATAACTTACTTGTGCTTCTTTTTTTCTTAAGAGTGCTTTAGCCCTACCCGGTTTGGCTCAGTGGATAGAGCGTCGGCCTGCGGACTGAAGGGTCCCAGGTTCGATTCCGGTCAAGGGCATGTACCTTGGTTGCGGGCGCATCCCCAGTGGGGAGTGTGCAGGAGGCAGCTGATCGATGTTTCTCTCTCATCGATGTTTCTAACTCTCTATCCCTCTCCCTTCCTCTCTGTAAAAAATCAATAAAATATATATTATAAAAATACTTTAGATTTCAGATTTTATGATATACATATTTATACATACATGTTTACATTTATATTTCTAGGTATCTTCATGCACATAGCCCAAATAAAAAAGATTCATCCTCATTCAAGAGAAATCTCCAGCATTTTCAGTTTAAACAGTTTGTTGTTTGAGATGGGAGAAATATTTTCTTCTTCCTCTTCTTAAATATGCTGGGGGAACACAGAGCCATGCCCTGAGAGGATTGGTGCGGGGAGTGGGAATGGAGGAGAGACCGTGCTTAGGAGTCGGGGCAATGTTAGAGAAAAATGGAACCTTTCAGGTTTGGAAAGAGCAGCAGGAGGGGAGGCATGACTTTCAGGAGTGAAGGCATCAGGGATGGAGAGGAGACAGCTGCTGGGCCAGGAGCTTGGTCGGCCAGAGAGCTGTTAAGTGGCAGAGTCTGTTCTCAGACTCTCTGGGTTTATTCTCTTTTCTGCAAAACAGCTTAAAGGGAAAAAAAATGTCAGTTCTAATGAACCAACTCTGCAACAATGCAGCAAATGAGAGTTTGTGGCAATTATGAATTCTGCAAAAAATCTCTAGATGGCATTGGCTTTTTTTTTTTTTCTGCTATATTTGGATAGTGAGTCCTGAAATGACAGTTTCCAATGTGACTTCCTGTGTTTTTCAGAAATCATCCTCAGCCTTTGATCACTGTGCTGGAGCACAGACCTGATTGCTGGCCCGTGCTTTTGCAGCAGCTGACAGCGTTTTTCCAGCAATGCCCTGAAAGGTAATGTGAAGTGAAATAGCGAGGGCGACGGAGTGGGGTATGCTAATTTTAGAACTTGGCTTTTTCTTTTTTAAGCTGCTTTGACTACAGTGTCTTCTCCTGAAGAAAAGTCTTTGAGCATATGTAGTTTAATATTTTCTTTTTAAGAGTAAAACAAAAACCTACCGTATTTCTTGATTGTTCAAATTTTAAATATGAGAGCAGCTATTATCAAAGAAGTTAAGCATTGGTTACTTAGGAAAGTTGACTAGAGATATTCAGTAAACTACTACGATTTTTAAATTTTTTTTAATGATAAATCATTTTTTTAAATGTTTTTATTGATTTCATAGCGGAAGGGAGAGGGAGAGAGAGATAGAAGCATCAATGATGAGAGAGAATCATTGATCAGCTGCCTCCCGCATGCCCCCCACTGTGATCAAGCCCTGACTGGGAATCGACCTGGTTCATAGATTGGCACTCAATCACTGAGCCACACCGGCTAGGCTAATGATAAATCATTTTAATAGTTGTGTTAAACAATTAATATAAAGCAAAATAACATAAGTCAACTACTTTTTCCTAGCGATAATATAAAATAAGGCATAAAGCTTTGATACGCCATACATAATACACTTAGAATATATAACATATATGTATTATTTTATATATACTATATATTTTATATATAGTGCTGATAGCTCAATTTTGAAAATGAAATGTATTTTAGTAAACACTGCCTTTATAATTACTCAAAGTGTGTATATACATTTTTTGGGGGGACACCATATATATATTTTAATCCTCACAAGGACATGCTTTTATTGATTTTTAGAGAGAGAGAAAGGGAGTGAGGAGCGGGAGAGAGAGAAACATTGATGTGAGAGTGAAACATTGATCAGTTGTCTCTCACATGTGCCCCAACCAGGGATTGAACCACAACCTCGGTATGTGCCCTGACTGGGAATCAGACCCATGACCTCTCCATGTATGGGGTGATGCTCCAACCAACTGAGCCACCAGCCAGGGTGGGGGCATTATTTTATAACTAAGTTAAGCATTCATTTATAGAAGGCCTTGTGATGTTAAAAACTTCACCTTCATGGAACTGAGAATTGCATAAATTGACATTGATTCATGGTCCCTAGACCAGGATACTTTCGTCTAACATATTTTCCAGCTGAGGGAACGGAGGAGAGCAATAGTAAATGACTTGCTCAGGTCACATGGCAAGTTAATGGTGGAGCTGGGCTGGAAGCCTCAGCGTTGGACTCTCACTGCAGGCCTTTCCCCGCCACTTCTCCCTTAGTGGTAAACAGAAAGATTGAAGATGTATATGTAGATACACTTGATGACATTTTTAAACATTCTTGATCACTTTGGGATTTCAGGTTATGTTTTATTATTTCCCTTTTCTCCTTGAGCCCTGGTAATTTCATACATGTGTACTGAAGTGATAGTTAGTCATTAGATACCACATAGGTAATGCAATATATAAAATCAGGACGGATTAAGCCAAGGAGAGTTTTAAATGCATAATAGTATATTGTCCTTAAGAAAGTTCAACATTATGCTTCTGATGTCAAATAATGACAGCATCTTGGAAATATATTTTTGTATATGAACCTTGCATTTCACCTTCAGCATCTCAAAGTGGGAGAAAACTGATAAGCTCTTCGTGGATGTTCTTGACACCTGGAGAGTATTTATTCTGTGGGGAACACATTATTACAGAGAGAGAGATGAGGAGACAATGTTTCTTAAATCTCTTTTTTGGAAACCTGTGCTTCGTAGTCTAACTCATAATACATCATCTGCTTGCTTGATCTACGAAGCTGTTTTTAGTTTCCTAAAGTGGATGGTTTGATAAAGAAATATGTTTCAGTAATAATTATTAACTCAAAGTCCTTCTTTTGTGGGTTATTGTTTTTTTTTGTAGATTATATAAGTATTTTTGCTCTTGAGGAAAAAAAATTAACCTCCAGACTGTGAGTTCCATTAGAGCAAGGATCTAATCTGTTTTTTGTTTCTAGCACATAGAAGAATGAATGGTGTGGTATTCAGTACATTTTGCAAAGCGAATAAGTAAATGAACAAATTAATTAAATCTTATCAATTTGACAACTTAAGGTTATTAATGTTAATGATATTTTAAAATCACATTGCTGTGGAATTTATAATGTTATAAAGTTACATTGTCAATCATAATTCAAATAGTATTTCCTTCATGCAGCATACCTTTCTTTTAGCGATTTTCACTTTCTATACTCTAGTTCAGGAACAAAACTGATTGCCCCTGTTAGATTCTATGCTTCTTAAAAATAGATAATGCCTGGTTTATCTTTGTATCTAATACTTTTTTATGGATAATAAATATGAAAAACATTAATATTTTAATTGGTGTATGCACATTGTAAAACAACTCTAAATTTAGTGTAACTGAATCAGTTAATTTAATGATCGCCTGAGCATCTCTTTGAAGGCCTACTGTGTACAGTTACTGGTTATACAGAAGTAAACAGAAATCCATGGTCCATGCCCTCATTTGGCTTATATTCGGGCAAGGAATAAAGGTATTGAATAATAACGGCGATAAAGTCATTGTCCTTTGGAAGCAGATAATAAGGCTCCGACCCAGGTTAGGTGTCAGGGAAGGCCCTCAGGAAGTCATTTTAAAGGAGAGAACCGAAAAATGATAGAATTTGGGCAGAGGAAGGAACAGGAAAGGGAGAAAGGGGACAGTATTACAGGCAGAGGGAATAGCAAGGGAGAAAGAAGCCTGGATGACTACATGGGAGATTCAGTGGAGAGTGGAGAAGAGCCAGAAAGGAGGCTGGAAAGATAAGCAGCAGCAAAATTATGGAGGGTTTGTGAATGGGACTAAATATTTTAAGGCTAAACTCTTTCAACCTAGTTAATGACATGATGAAATTTTACATTTGAAAGGTCATTTTGGCATTTTAGTAACTTTGGACTTGGAGTTATTGGGATATATTGAAATCTAAAGATACAAATGATTGGTAATGTTTGCCTTCCTCCTCTGCATAGGAATAGCTTACGAGGAGGGACTTGGCAGGTTACTTCACCTCCTTCTGCCTCAGTTTCTGCATAATTGGGGTATAATATTTTATTTTATTTTATTTTATAACTTTGTAGTGAGGATCAAATGACCTTAAAGGCATAAGGTGCAGTTACTTGCACACCCTGTTAACGAGTAAATATTAGCTTATAATCTTCTTGTGTTGTCAGTGTGGCTTTGTTGTATATAGAACCTCATGTACACAGTTTTTCTGAAAATGCATGCCTGGATTATATTCCTGGAAAATGGGTCTTGACATCTATAATTCTTGAAAGGTTCTCAGATGATTCTGCTGTTCACCAAAGACAGATGCTGGAGATGTAGTGTGAGATACAGATGCTATTCTAGTGTGAAATGCAGATGCTATTCTAGGGTGAGATGTAGATGCCATTCTAGGGTGCAGGTAAAGACCCTTAGTTCTGGCCAGCAGCTTATGGTCTCCGGGGGTTGTCATTTTCTCCAGCGCACAAGGAACTGTTTGGTGAGGGTATAGGCAGGTCATGGTGGAATAGAAGAATCATCAAAAGTAGTTACACTTGCTAACACAGTTCATGATCGGTCCGGAGCCATTAGTTGATACTCGGACACTGACTTGCTTGATACTCTGTGACTGGCTTTTGTGTCACATGATTTCCAGGTCGGAAGCTTCATGCGTCCAAATAATGGCACCATTTCTCTGGTATCTGTATTGTGAGCCATCCCAGTTGCAAGAATATGCTAACCTCAGACTAGCCCTGCTGAAGGTCCTCCTTCAACCCCGGGTTCTCTGTGACAAAGAACAGCCATCGACACTGGAGCAGCAGATCCTTCAGCTGTGTTGCGACATGGTCCCGTGCTTGCAGGTAAGGCCTTCCCTCCTCCCCGATTGGCATCGTCACGTGTAAAGTAGAACCCCTGTGACTTGGCAAACTCGGGCACAGTCCCGGCTCCGGAAAAGCTTGCAGGCTTTTGGAAAGGATGAAGGAACCAAATCTAGATTTAAAGCTGATGTATACAATGTTAACTAAATTCACAGATATGTAAATCAGCACACTCCACGTTAGGATTAGTAGGAGTGAAAACTTCCCTTTGCTTCAGAAAGGCTTCTCCGGAAAAAGAATCTTGAGTGGAATTTCTCCTTGTGCAAGAGACTAAGCGAGTTATCAGAAAAATAAAAAAGATCTCTTTGTGCAGATTAGAAAAAGGTGTATCTCGGGGCAGACAGAGCCCTGGGACCCAGGGCTGACGGCCCAGTGCTGGCTCGGTTTCCGTTTCCACGTGTCCCCGTACAACATGTGTGAGGCCCTGACGGGTCCTGCTTTTGAGAAGCCCAGGGTCTAGTCAGGGAGTTAAACCAAGTATATAAATTTTCATAATTCAGAGTAGGTGGATGAAAGATGTTTAACAGAGGTATGGATAAAACGCCTAGGGAGTTCAGGGGAGAGATAAATATGAGCTAATATCTCTATAATTGTAGATAAAAAAAAACAAAAACAAAAACACACACCAAAAACTCCAGTTGCCAGTGTGTTGTGATTTTAGTGTAGTGGTTCATTTGTCAGGCCATCCCGTCCCGCCATCAGGGTCTGTCCTTTGCCTAGCATCTGAGCACCATGCGGCTTAGTGGATGGAGAGAATATTTTTCAAAGTGATCACTTGCAGTCACAGATGACCTGTTTTAAGTTGTGTTAGCAAGGAATGATGAGAGCGACTCTTGCCTTTGTGACTCAGAAATTGGCCTTTCTGTGATCAAGGCAGAGCAAAGGGAATTAACAGGAATTCTCCTGTGGCTTTTCCCAAGCTTTTGTTTTGTGTGGGCAGTAAGCAATGTGGTGAACATCTTGAACTAGGGTACACTCTGTCACACCTTGCTTGCGTTACCCTGCTCTCTGCTCTTGGATAGGTGTTGGTCTTCATCTTCATGAGCCTATATTGACAAGCCTAAATACTTATTCGAAGTGAACTCTGTGGAATATTTCTGGGAATATGAAACTTGTTAATATAGTTGAGATAGATGAGGAGAAAAAAAGGATACACCATTTGAAACAAATGGAACTAGCAACATAAACACTGAACATATTGGCTTTTTTTTAGAATGAGGAATCTGAACGTTAGGAAGGATTTTAGCAGCAGTGTAATCCATGTTCCCACTGATTACAGGCATTTCTTATACTCTTTAAAAGACAACCATCCCATGAATGTGAAATATTTTAGTGACAGGAAGCATGCTATTTTGCAAGGAAACCCTTCCTTCCTTCCTTCCTTCCTTCCTTCCTTCCTTCCTTCCTTCCTTCCTTCCTTCCTTTTAGCAAGTACTTCTTCTAATTTACCTGCATTTTCCCAGGACTTTACTCATTAGTCACAATTCTTCTCAGAAAAAAACAAGCTTTTTCAAAAGCCCATCTGCATCCTATGTTGTGTTGTTTTTCTCTGCCTTCCTTTTCCCCCTTCCATCCTTCCCTCTTTTCCCTCTCTTCCTCCTTTCTTTCCTCCATCCATTTCTTTACTTCTCCATATGAAATGGTTTCCAGACTTCACTGTCCTATGGCAGGAATTCCCTAGTTTATTGGCGCTCAGATTGTGTTACTATGAAATGTTCCTCTTAGTGCTGAATACAGTACTGAGCACCTGCAGAGAATCACATTAATTTTTTTTTTTTTTTAGAAATAGCCATGCCACCCTACTGGCCTATGGTCAGAGGGCAGTCAGTGGAACTCCTATTTCCTTTTCTTCTCATACCAGTTGCCCTTCAATTTATATTTTCTTATTGGGACTTACCTGTCTTAAACTTTACTGTTGACTTTGGTCCTGGCAGTTCTTTCTTTTTAATTGTGACTCTTGTCATCACACATGTTACCATTGTACATGATCTATTTCTACTTCAAAATTTTTCTTGTTAAGAATTTTGGTAATGATAACCATTAGAGAGCCTTTAATGCTAACTTGCTGAGGTTGCTTTCAAAAACTTTTTTATTATGGAAAATTTCAGTTATGCACCAAAAAAAAATGGATTCAAGGAAATGTCAGACATGAGGCTTTACTTAATTTTAAATCCCTTCCCTTTTTTGGTGGCCTTTTGCCTCTCCCACTCTATATTTGCAAAAGAGCAAAATAATTTACTGAACCTTTTACATTTATTTTTTTATAACTTGGTATTTTGGACTATCTCCTCCCACTAGATCTTATAATATCTTTTTTCTCTTGTTTGCTAGGAATTAATTTTTCTCTCTGTGTATAACTTGGGGTTATTATGATGGTAACGACTGGTGAAAGGTACAGCTGGTCAACTGTAGGCTTTCCTGTTGATGAATTTAACAGACACAGGCTCCTGATTGAAGCAGATGGTTCATTGTTTGTAGCCTAATCTCTGGGAAATGCCAGTGTGTCTGCTAGCAGGACCATATCCTCAATGCCGACTCCAGAATTGTGATCAGAACAGCTGGCCTTGAATTGAATTGAGATTTTTCAAGAGCATCCAAGTCTTTCCTATCTAATACATTAGCCTGTGGAGAGGACACTCTGCCATTTGAATATGGTCTTTCCTTACGCCTGTGGAGTGTGGAAATGATGCTCTCAGTTAAGGTGTTTTGAGCAAATACCTTGCAGATGAAGAACTTACAGTGAATTAGAATAACTAGCCCTTTACTATCAGGTAATTATGTTGCAATTGTAGAAAGGAGAGTTCATTTGGAGAGCTCAAAACCAACTTTAATTTCCTTTAAGATGTTGGCACTGTCATGTAATTTGTCTTAAGAAATCTGCACTCAGAGAAGTTAGGAAAATAAATGAAAACAATTGGTGCCAGGCAGCAGTAATAAAAACAATAGCAATTATTTTGTTCAGTGACACATGGAAAAGGCAGAGGTGCAGAGTTTAATCCCATATGAGTTCTGTACATTTCTGCATCTCCTTAAGACTTTATAAGTTTAAGGGAAAAATATTTTATTGTTTATTGTGTATTTAAAATTATTCTTTGGTTTGTACTTTATTGTAATGTTATATAACTACTTTTTAAAACAGATAAAGGATTTGATACAGACAACAGAAGTGATGCTGTTTATCGAGGAAGTATATTTAAGCCTTTCGCGTCACCCTGGTTTCTGGAAAATTCAGCTTACCCAGCTGACCCTTCAGCTGCTGTGTGTCTGTGAAGTCAGCTTGCAGATAACTGGGGAATGCACATCTTTAATTCACCTTTTGGAGCGTAGTGTTGAACTGCTGAAGGAGGTAAGGATAGGAAGACATTTTAATGAGTCAGTTATCACTTAAGTGGGTTTTATATGAAGGAGCTGGGTGGGTGTGCACTTACACTTTATCATATCAAAGGTGTGTTGCTGTCATATGATTAGATCATACTACTAATGTACAACTACTACTAATATCATTTATTATAAAAAGGAATCATTAAATACTCTTTAGAGCATCAGGTAAGTATCTGCCACTCTGTCACTTTTTCATTACTCACGTAGGACACAAGTAATGAACATTTATTACATGCCAGACCCTATAGAGTACATAGATGAAAAGGTACATTCCGTGACCTCAAGGGACTTACAGACATGCAAATAAATAATTACAATACAGTAAGGTAAACGCTTTGCTATATTGAAAGGGCACAGTTAAGGAAAGTAGGGTATGAGTTCAGATGTGAGAAGTCTGAATAGGAGTTGGCCTGGTTCACACCAGAGGCTGGAAGGCATTCCGGCTGTAGGATCAGCATGTGCCCAGGCACAGAAGCATGAGAGAGCAGGCCGGCATGGCCCGCTCAGAAAACGAGAAGGTGTTGAGTATTGTTGAAGGGTCAAGGTATAGGAGATAAGGCCCAGAGTTGAGTTTGCATTTTATCTTCTAGGTAATGGCATGCTATTGAAGACCTTTAGCAGAGAGGTGCCCTGCTATTTTGTGTGTGGAAAGTTATTCTGATGGTAGAGTGGAGGAGGGTTTAGAACAGGGTAATACAGGGGCAGGAAATGAGGAGGGATGTCTTAGACTGCTAGGGCTGCCGTAAGAAAGTATCATAGACTGGGTGGCTTAATCAACAGCATTTTTTTCTTGCAGTTCTAGAGACAAGGAAGTCCAAGATCAGGGTGTTGGCTGACTTGATTCCTAGCAAGGGCTGTCTGTCTTCCCGGCTTGTAGACAACTGCTGTGTCCTCACATGAGAGAGAGCAAGAGTGAGCTCTCTATTGTTCCTTCCTATAAGGACACTAATCCTCCTAGAATAGGGCTCCACTCTTGTGATTTGGTTTAACTTTAATTGCTTCTTTACTCAACAACTATTGCATTGGCAGGTAGGGCTTTAGCATGTGAATTTGAGGTGAGAAGGACACAATCTGGTTTATAGCAAGGGACTAATTAGGGAAATAAAGATGGGAAAATAAAAATATAGGAGATGAAACCAATAGGGCTTTCTGGTGACTAGATGGTCAAGGAGAGGGTCCTTGGTAGATTTTTAGTTTTCTATTTTGGACAACTGGATAGTATCATTCACTTTTGGAAGTGGTAGCTGATGTTAGAAGGAAAATGGCAACTTTGTTTTGAGATTTGCTTGGTTTAATGTACTAGTATGTATGGATCATAAACAGTTGGCTGTATAGTTTTGAAAGTCAGGATAGAAGCCTAAGCTAAAGGTATAGATTTGTAGACATTTACTTTAGAAGGAGAGTTTTAAATTTTAACCATGGGGTTGCATGACAGGGCTTGGGTTGGAACTGCAGGGACTGTTGATATTTGGAGTGTACTGATAGAGAAGTCTGGGAAAGTATGGCTAAACGGTTGTATGACAAGCAGAAGAGACAGGTGACATGAAAATCAAGGACAGGAATCTGTTAAAAAGGGGAATGGTCAGCATTGTCATGGAGAGAGGATGTGAAGTAAGATTAGAAAATTAAGTACTCTTATGATGCAGCAGGAGGAAGTTTATTGTCCACAGGAGGGGAAGCAGTTTCAGTGCAGTGGTGGTGGTAGGAGCAAATTGGATTAAAGGAGTGAATGGCAGGCAAGGAAATGGAGAGAGTGAATGTGTTTCTGTGAAAGATGAAGACTCAAGTAATTCATTGGTCAATTTGACAATCTTGTGGTTAGAATGGTTTCTATGCTTGGACTCTATAGATAATACTATTTTTATATACTATTATCTATCTATCTATATAAAAGCATAATATGTAAATTGACCAGATGGCAGAACTACCGGTCACTATGACACACACTGACTGCCAGGGGGCAGACGCTCAATGTAGGAGCTGCCCGCAGCCTGCAGGCCCCAATCGATCTATCTATATAAAAGCATAATATGCAAATTGACCAGATGGCGGAACGACCGGTCACTATGACACACACTGACTGCCAGGGGGCAGACGCTCAATGTAGGAGCTGCCCGCAGCCTGCAGGCCCCAATCGCCCAATTGGGGCCTGCCGGCCAACCTCTTGGTCCCTCCCCCTGGCTGGCAGGCTCCTATCGCCCTATGGGGAATGGGGAATCAGGGGTGGGTGGTGGTGGACGCCGGCAGTGCCAGGCCAAGGCAGGTGCAAGCGGGGCCCTGATCGCCCCGCCGGTTGCCCCACACACAGAGGGTGGGCTGCAGCAGCGGCAGTGGGGGAAGGGACCAGCTGTCAGCAGCCGGTGAAGATTGGCCTGATCGCAGGCCAGGCCTAGGGACCCTACCCGTGCACAAAGTTCGTGCGCCAGGCCTCTAATATAATATATTTATGTTATGTATGGTAGTGATGTGCATTGACAATATACAGTAATATATATCTGTCATGTATTATGTAATACCTATTATATATTAACTAGAGGCCCAGTGCACAAAATTCGTGTCAGATACGGTCCCTAAGCCTGGCCTGTGATCAGAGCCATCTTCCCCAGCTGCTGGCAGCCGGCCCCGCCCCCCGCCGCCACTCACCCCAGTTTCCCGCTCGCCATCGGGGGATCGGAGCCTGCTGGCCAGAGGGAGGGACCGAGAGGTGGTCAGTGCGCCTCGTAGCGACTGGTCAACCGGTCATTCGGGTTGTTCCACTGTTTGGTCAATTTGCATATTACTCTTTTATATATATAGATAAATACATACTATGATAAAAATATCAAATCCCCTCAGATGTATAATTATATCTATATTATATATCTATATAATATTTATATATGGTTCTACCTATTGGGTATATAATAGATAATATATAGAAAAATATAGACAGATAATATTTTATGGGTAAATATTATATAGCTAAATTACCAAGAGTTGTGTGTTTTTTTACTGTACCTCATATTGTTCCTTTGTGTTTGTACTAGATTCATTTGCGTAGTGACATGATTATCAATTATAATTTTAGAGTGTAGTCTTTTTGCTATCTTCCTCTGACAATCTTATTGTATATCTGCCCCTCCCCACACTATGCATTTAGCATATATTTAGTAAGCATCTTCTGTGGCAAACACTTTGCTACAAATAATTAGGTAAAAACAGACAAGGTTTGTGAAGCTTACACGCTAGTGTGCATAAAAATCACTAGGCAGAGTTTATTAAAATGCAAATGCCTGGGGCCTGCCCCTAGAGAAATTGAATTAGCAGGGCTGAGTGAGGCTTAAGCATCTGTATTTTAAACTAGGCCTCAGGTGATTTTATATATATATATATATTTGCATATAAGGCAAACACCCTAGTAAGCATCACACAGATTGAACTTTTTAGCCACCACAGAAGTTTCCCACAAGTCTAGTCCTAATCACAACCTCCTCTGTTCTGACTGTCCTGACTTCTATAGGAGTCTCTTTCTTACATTTTAAAAACAGTTTTAACACCTAAATGCATATGTCTACACATCATAATATAGTTTTGTGTGCATGATCTTTTATACTAAAGGTCATTACCTTCCATTCCCTCCCTTACTTTTTTCCCTTGAAGTATACAGGGTGGGGAAAAAAATAGGTTTATAAGTGTGAGTATGCAAAACAGAGTTTATTCTTATATTGTTATTAATAATTACTGTATTATCTACTTCTGCCCGCCCCCCCCCCGCCCCCCGCCCTTGTATGTATTGAAAGACCTGGTTTATGTGAGCTGTAGCGTTTTCTACATTGTGAATTCTGCTGATTGCGTCCTCTTGGTGCACTTGGACATGTTTCTCTAACTCCTAATGAATTAATTGAGTTAGGCACTGAACTTCAACAGCTACTAACACCAAAAAAAGAAGAGCAACACACATGTGCTTCTGGATGAAAGACCACACCAACTCCCAGTCGTCTTAGAAACAAAAAATGAAACTTAACAAATCCTGAATCTGATCAAGCCCCTATTGTCTGATTGGCCCAGCTTGGCTCAATCAGCTCTGCCCTGGGGACAGGGTAGGCACAGACATGGCCCTGGGAGAACGAGAGCTGGGCTCCATCGCCACCGTGTCTGCCACAGATACTTACCCCTGATGTAGCCTTTCTTACACTTTGTTTTCCCTACCATCTTGTTCATAGCAGCATCCTTCGGCACATCAGTGCCTGGCACATAGGTGGTGCTCAAAAGGGTAGACTCCAATGGCATTTCCATCTTTTTAAAAATATTTGACTTCCTTTTCTAGGTAGACTCTGAATTAGCCTGTGAATTAGCCTGGGTTCCCCCAAAAGAAACAGAAACAGACCCTGGGTTTCCCCAAAGCAGAGGCTGATGGAACAGGCATTCATTTGCAAGTGCAATCGCAGGAAGCATGTGGGAGAGGGACAAGAAGAGTGAAATATTGATCGTGGGAGAGGCGATACAGATATTATCAAGTTTGCCACTGCTACAAGCATCGGTTACTCCATCCCACAGAATATTCCGAGTAGCCGTATGAAATGTCTCAGAATCCCCCTGAAGGACCCAGAATAAAGAGGGAGATATTTGTTCTTGGGCTTCCATTGCCTACTTGGCAAGTTTTAACTCCCTGGGCTTCGGGATGTCTCACTGGTCTAGAGCAAGAGGAACTACAGCAGTGTGTGAAGTGGCACACGAGATGTCCAACACAGCTTTTATGAAAAGAGCTCATGAAATGGTACCAATCTTTAGTGTCTGTTAGAAATCAGTCAAGCAAACAAAAAACTTGCAACCTCTCAGAAATGAAAGCAATGTAGGATTATTTAATCTCCACAATGACTGTTCCTTACTTTTGGTGTCTTGCATCTCCAGCTCTTTCCTTGCACCCTCGTTCTGAAAAGAGAGCAAACATATTAAGAACAGTATGCCATGTACCTCAGGTCCCTTGAAACATATGCTGTGCAGATGTTTCTTCCCTGCAGCGACTGTGTCAAGCAGCAAGGATGGACCGGCTTCTGGCAAAATATTGACTGTGGAAGAGGCAATACAGATATTATCAAGTTTGCCACTGCTACAAGCACCGGTTGCTCCATCCCACAGAATATTCTGAGTAGCCGTATGAAATGTCTCACAACACAAATTGAACATAATTAAAGCATAGTAATTAATCACAAAACAATATGTAATTATATACATGTTTTCCGATGGTCTTAGGCGACCCCTGTAAAAGGGTCGTTTGACCCCCAAAGGGGTCGCGACCCACAGGTTGAGAACCACTGGTCTAGACCATTTCAGAACCCTGAAAAGCTACCTGGTGACCCTTTCAGTGACAGCTTGTGTGGAAAAGGCTCTCCCGTGATAGCGTTCAAATACAGGAATACTTTTGTCTCCGATCCTCTTGGTAGATGGTAAACTTGAAATTTAAATCGTCTTGTTGGTTTTCTTTTTCTTTTTTATGAACATGCAGAATTTGAAATGAAATTGAGGAAAAGATAATGGCAAAGAATAGTGTGATGGTGTATACTGTAAGCGTATTTATTTCAAAATGCATTTATTGTCCTCAAATAGATAACAATGCTTCATGGTTCTCAACTGTATTTCAAAATAGTGAACATATATAAGCTGCGAAGACACAAATTAGAATATATTCCATTAAAAAATCATAATAATTTTCCTCTAGCTGTTTTAAAAAAATATTTTTTTGATTTCAGAGAGGAAGGGAGAGAGAGAGAGGGAGAGAGAGAGAGAAACATCAATATTGAAAGAGAATCATTAATTGGCTGCCTTCTACATGCCCCACACTGGGGATCGAGCCTGCAACCTGGGCATGTGCCCTGACCAGGAATCGAACCGTGACCTCCTGGTTCATAGGTCGACACTCAACCACGGAGCTACACCGGCCAGGCTAGCTGGTTTTTTTAAGTCCATAAACATTCTTAGAAGATTTTGCAGTGTGATTAATTTCACTTTTTAAATGACTTGTAGATATACTAGAGGCCTGGTGCATGAATTGGTGCATGGGTGGGGTCCCTCAGCCTGCCAGCGATCACAATCAGGGTCATCTCACCCAGTCCCTATCAGGGCCAATTGGGCCGGCCAGCTGGCTGCAGAGGGGGGGTGGAGGGGGGGAAGGACCACAGGAGGTTGGCCGGCCCCCCATCAGGTGATTGGGGCTGGCTGGCCGGCTGGGGGTAGGGACTGCAGGAGGTTGGCTGGCCATGGGAGGTTGGCTGTGGGTGCACACTGACCACCAGGGGGCAGCTCCTGTGTTGAGTGTCTGCCCCCTGGTGGTCAGTGCACGTCATAACTACCGTCTGGTTGTAACGGTTGCTTAGGCTTTTATATAGAGAGATATTTATTAATTTGTGCCAGAGTTGATAGCATCCCCAAGATTATAACTTCTGAGTGGCTCAGACGTTGTTTTCTCACAGGGGTTTCTTTAATGTGGCTTTACCTCACGTGTCCTTTTTTCTTTGCCTGTCCTCATGATTTATAGGTATTTCTGCTCTGCAGGTACTTCTGTGAAATTTCAGAATGAAGTAATTCTAGGAAAGTGTGGTAGACCTTTCTCCGTTAGTTCCATAATATGTTAATGTTTTCTGTATTTAGAATCCTCAAATAATGTTGTATGTCACTTGTATCTTATTTATTGGAACTTAATGTACATGTCCTTTTTCTCTTTTTCATTTTGTTCATATACTTAGTGAAATTAATGATTTAAAGTTTCTATGGTTATTGCTTTGCTGCATTTAAATATGCTTAATAAATTACTGTAATTTAAAAATAATCTCTGCCTCCCTAGGCACTAATGTTTCTTCCATTATAATATGATTTATTAAAATGCATTTAGTATAGTTTATTATGTGAGTTATATAGATGAATCATATCTGTATTAGGTAAGTAGACAACTGAGCTACTTCTCGAATGAAATATTCTTAAATTCAGGATTTCGGGTTGTCTTTAGTGGCTTGCAAAGATTCACTGTTTTGAAGACGTGCTGCTATATTGTGTTAAGGTGTTACTCCTCTAAATGATTTTTTTTAGCCTATTGTTCTTTGGCCGGATGTAAGATTTTGAATTTATGTATGAGTGCTCCGGCATCCACCAGTTCTTTAGTAGAACAGGCTTACTGGTCATCATTTCGTGTCCAGTCACCCCTTGGTGTCCTTGGAGGATTGGTTCCAGGATCCCCCATGGACACCAAACTCTAGGATGCTCAAGTTTCCTAAATAAATTAGCGTAGTTTTTGCATATAGTCTATGTACATCCTCCTATACACACCTAAAATCATCTCTAAATTGCTTGTAAGACCCAATACAATATAAATGCTATGTAAATAGTTGTTAATACTATATTGTTTAGGGAATAAGAGGCAATAATGACAAGGAAAAAGGTCTGTACCTGTTCAGTACAGATGCAACCATCATGGGTCTAACTGCATAGTGCACGTCAGCGACAATCGACCATTTTTAAGATATTTTTGATTTGCAGTTGGTTGAATCTGTGGATACAGAGCCCACAGGTATGGAGGCATGACTGTAACAGGTTAATAATCTTTCATGTTGAATATACTCTTCCTGGTACATGTTATAAAGCTGTGGCTCTGGGAACTTCTTAACAACTCTTTGTGTTTTCTTCTTTTCTTTAGGATTTTCCTGTTGAACTGGTCATAATTGGAATAGCTTTGCTACTTCTACAGACTCCTGCAAGTCAGCAGAAGCCAATCTTAAGTCTAGGTAAATGACACCGACTACAGGAAAAAGTAAACATAGCCTGAGGGTTGGCAGGAGTCCCTTGAACTATATATAGTATATCCTGTTATGCTGTAAAGTCCTGTATATTTTGAGTTTCTGTTCTGGAATTTTCTTCATTAATCATTATCACATAGAATCTTCTTTCTCTTGTCCAACAAGGTATTTCCTTGTGCAGAACCATTTAGCAGTGACATTGGCAAATATATTGAAGGGCATATCAGCTATTCACAGTTGTACCACACACTCAGAATCAATAGCATAAAACCCTTGAAACAAAATAATTGTTTAGCATTTGTATTTGTTCTGAAAACTATACCCTGACTATTCAAAACTCTTGCCATGCTGGACAAAATTTAATTTATGGTTATTAATTAACCTGTGAGACAAACGAAAGATAACATTCTCCCCACTGTCCAGTATTATTTAAAGAAAAGTGAGGAATGGGACTAAAGGGAGGCAAAAATGTTCTATTTAAGAATGATGTGGCCAGGCCGGTGTGGTTCAGTGGTTGAGCATAGACCTACGAAATAGGAGGTCAGGGTTCAATTCCCAGTTAGGGAACATGGTTGTGGGCTTGATCCCCAGTTTGGGTGGGGGCTTGCAGGAGGCAGCCAATCAATGATTCTCTCTCATCATTGATGTTCCTATCTCTCTCTCTCTCTCCCCGGCTTCCTCTCTGAAATCAAGAAAAATATTTTTTAAAAGTCATTTGAGCCCTAGCTGGTTTGGCTCAGTGGATAGATCGTCGGACTGTGGACTAAAGGGTCCCAGGTTCGATTCCAGTCAAGGGCACATGCCTGGGTTACAGGCTCGATCCCCAGTTGGGGATGTGCAGGAGGCAGCCAATCAATGATTCTCTCTCATCGTTGATGTTTCTATTTCTCTCCCTCTCCCTTCTTCTCTGAAGTCAATAAAAATATATATTTTTTAAAAAGTCATTTGATTTGCTTTGGCTTATGGAACAGTAGCCAATGTGACATAAGCAGAAACCTGAAAGCATTTGAGCTTTTTGGGGGGAAAAAAAAGAATGATGTAGTAAAGAATCAAGGTGTTGGGTCTGGCAGATTAGCAAATAAGTCACACCTTTAAATGCTGCTTTTACATTAATGTTGCCCAGCTTTATGGCTCCAGTGTAATCCATGTGCTAATGGAGGCTCTGTGTAAATTGTTGGATAGGCCGAAACCGGTTTGGCTCAGTGGATAGAGTGTCGGCCTGTGGACTGAAAGGTCCCAGGTTCGATTCCGGTCAAGGGCATGTGCCTTGGTTGCAGGCACATTCCCAGTGGAAGATGTGCAGGAGGCAGCTGATCGATGTTTCTCTCTCATCGATGTTTCTGACTCTCTATCTCTCTCCCTTCCTCTCTGTAAAAAATCAATAAAATATATTTTAAAAAAAATTGTTGAATAGTGCCATGATACCCTCATTTTAAAAACGTGCTTGAGGTAAATACTGATTGTGTAGTCCAGTGGTTGGCAAACCGCGACTCGCAAGCCACATGCGGCTCTTTGGCCCCTTGAGTGTGGCTCTTACACAGAATAACACGTGCGGGCGCGCACATAGAGTGCGATTGAAACTTTGTGGCCCATGCGCAGAAGTCAGTTTTCAGCCTGGGTGAGTCTATTTTGAAGAAGTGGCATTAGAAGAAGTGGGGGGTGTCGATTGGTCGGGCGACGGGAGACGCGGCGCAGGGGAGGTACATTGTTTTGAGGTACGTTCGCTGAGGTCGACCCCTTCCAACTCTCCCATCCACACTCCTCTATCTGAAACAAGTATACAAGACGAGTGTGGATGGGAGAGTTGGAAGAGGTCGACCTCAGCGAATGTACCTCAATCAGATGGAGGACATTTTTAGCAAAGTCCAGCTTAGGAGTACCCTAATTAAGTTAATAACAATGTACCTACCTATATAGTTTAAGTTTAAAAAATTTGGCTCTCAAAAGAAATTTCAATCTTTGTACTGTTGATATTTGGCTCTGTTGACTAATGAGTTTGCCAACCACTGGTGTCGTCTATTATTCTGGGCATTTTAATTCATCATGACTTTGAGGGTGGATTGCTCCTGCACTTGCAGTCTGTTTTGGGAATGGCTTTAGCACGTGGAGGAGTGCCCTTGGCTCTGTGGCCTTGATCTCTGCCCTGCCCTTGCCTGTTGGCCTTATGCTCACTTGTGTCCTCCACGCTGGTCCTTTCCTGAATGACTTCTGCCTTTTTTTCTCATAACTATGAACATGGCATCATCCCACATGTGTAATTTGCTAGTGCTACTACTTCTGACGGCCACATATTTTTAAACAGCTTTATTGAGATATATTTTATTTGCCGTAAATTCTATGATTTAAAAATGTACAATAAAGTGTCTTTTTATGAAATTTACAGAATTATGCAACCGGAACCACAATCTAGGTTTAGAACATTTCCATCACCTCCCCCCTGCATTTTTTATGCCCACTTAATAGTTAATCTTCATTCCCACCATTAATGTGCATTCTGTCTCTATAAATTTGCCTTTTGTGGATATCTATCTATATATCTATATAAAAAGAGGTAATATGCAAATTAGGGCGGGACTCCATAACCAGTCACGACCAGGAGGAGGTTGCGCGTGCAGGTGAGGCCTGGAGCAGAGACGGAGACAGGCAGGGGGGCCTGCCCGAGCCGGTGCGGCAGCTCAGGCGGCCCGGGAGCGGACACAGGCAGGGGGGCCTGGGGACAC